ATGGTCATGCTGGACCATGAAGTCCACATGTGGGCTGCAGTCGCGGGTAGACGAAAAGCGCGCTGGTCCCTCGCGGCGTTTTTCCGCAAAACGCCGTGGTCGTCAATGGATAAAAAACTCGCCCAGAATATTATTCAGTTCTCATTATGCAACGCCAAGGAAAAACATTTACAATATTACCTGCCTCATTGCATCGGTCTTCAAATGCGCTTTCAATACTTTTTCACTAGAGCACCAATTTAGTTGGTAACCTCCAGCTTCATCTCTAGGCTATTGCCACCGCTGCCTTTGAAATATTTCATACCTCACCATACTCCTTCATATATGAGGCCTGAAGGCATTGTCCCGGCAATTTGCCTTTCTTCCGAATGGGGACAAATGGTACTCCCAGAAGTATAGCGACCATCGGTCCAAAAAGAAAGCCTGCAAAACGTGGTAAATGAGGAGGAGAGACGCTTAATTCTATAGTGAAATCACGACAGGCGGGCACACCACTAATTAAGCAATGGAGAGCATCAAATGAAGTGAAGAAGAGGATTTAATTCTAAACCTTAATACATGCATAGATGACACGAGGAAGAAACACCACTCCGAAGCAAGAAACAAAAGTATGTCTGAGTTAAAGTTCCGTAATCGTCCATGTCCGTGGAACCCTCCAATTAAGCATCCTACTGAATTTTCAGATCAACCTATGATGACCATTCGCACTGCAGTAGTGTGTAGCGCACTACCTACAAAGTGGAGACTCACTGTTAAGCAGGTAAAGAGAACTGAGTTCGACTGTAGCACTAAGGTAAGTGAACCGCTTAGAGAGAGTCGTCGAGTTGACTTCAACAACGAAGGGAAATCCCGATGATGACTTTCTTGCTTTCTACAAGCACGGAAGAATACCTTGATTTCTTACCAATCAGCTTGACCAGAAGTCGGATAGGCAATGTAAAGAGCAAAAATGCCGGGGACAAGCACGAAGAGAATAGCGTTCAGTAGATGCATATGCTTTTACATCTTGTCGCCAGAAGCCCACACTAGACACTTAGTCTCGGCTCAATCACAAAAAACAACTGCTGCCCTCATAAATCATCTGCATTTTCGCCCTTTACCATAAAACCGCAATGTACAAAATAGCAAAAAAAGAAAAATTTTGAAGTCCGCCTGCAGTGCTATTCGTAGAGAACAACTGAGACCACCAAAAACATCCCGAGCCTGAAACACGGCCCGGTAAGGAAATCCCGGTTCATCAGGCTGTGGAGAACACTGGAATACACAGAAGTAAGCCTATTTTTTGAAATTGTATGATCACTGATGAAGAGAGGCAACTGTTTCTATACCAACGAGACATTGTAGACTCATGTTGCATCGTGCTCGTGCTATTGTTCCAGACTTTACCGATTAGACTGCCGATGGAAGGAGTAGAGCTATGCACATTGACACCTTAGCACACTCATTGGTTCTGTAATCCCGCACGACCAACTGATCTGTTAGGGGATCCAAGCTTTTCATTCCTCTGATCAGAAATTGGGAGGGGACGAAATTGGGAAATTGGGAGGGGCGAAACGAGCTCGACAGGCTGCTCAAGCCTTCCGTTTCACACCATGTTTACCAAGAAGTATAAAATCACAATCAATCTGTCCTACAGCTTTCAAGGAGGAAAAATGAGACGTGAACTTTATATCTCAAAAAGAGTCAGTATTAACACTCATTCGAGTCGGTAATTAACACTCATTCGACTTCAATATATCTGGAGAAACGTCATACTGAGCGAATAATACAGTCAGGATTAGAAGGAAGCCTCAACGGGTAGCACTTTGATCTGATCCTCTCATGCAAACATCATTTGCAGGCTTCGAAAAGGCATAAAATTTGTGTTGTCTCCCCACTTATCATCACTTGTCCATCTACTTCATTTTGCTTTACACAACTGTATGCACCTCTCTCTAGGTCTCGTGATCACCTGTTGCCATTCCTGAATTTCGTTTCCTTATCAGGTTCTTTCAATGGTCACTGACATGACTCTGATTTACCATGACGGACGACAGAATCAATCAAATCATAACAACGTTATATGTAAAGACGTCGCGACCGAAGCGACAGGGTCCACGATCCAACAGTGACAACATTTTCACTTTGCAACACTAAATTGCATGCTGGGAACATGCATATGATGCGAAGAGCGCAGTTTTTGAGAACAGGCACACCGAAGAACAGATATGCACAGAACATGGAGATTGTGGTGGAGTTTACAATGATCAACGCTAGAGTTATCGTCATATCACTGTCTGCACGAACAGCTAGGTTTGCTGTAGGAGATTGTGCTCAAGAGTCAAAGCTGCGGGAGAACCCAACAGAATCCTTATATAAAAACGAAAGCAAACATTTCATTCAAGAACTTGTAAGGCAGTGTGGTATCAAACAAATTAAACACTTGAAAACAACGGAGTAATACGGTTACCTCGTGCCTCGAGAGCAGCGATAGCGTTGATTTCACCGACACTGGTTCGTATATGTTGAGCGATTGCTTTACAGAGGTCATCTACTATTTTTGGATGAGCAAAAAGTGGCATAATATCCCTGGAATGTTGCGCAGTGTAGTCTGGAAAGACGCTGGTGTCAAGTTGTACCAACAATCGTGATGATAGTATTAGGAGAAAACAAAAAACAAATGATTGCTTCAGTAATAGCATATAATGACAATAAAGTAACAACAAAAAGTGGATAATAAAAATTGTTCAACTGCCGTTAACAATGCTCACGATTATGTGGCTAAGTTTACATGCCGCGAGTTACTTCCCATGCTGCACTGAGAAGCTGCAGTATGAGTCAATAGATTACAAAAAGAAAGCACCGACGACAGCAGGTCCTCACGAGGTATCGCTACTGGGTAACGAAGTCCCTGTTCACTACGGAGATCGTTCATTTTACTGCGAAAGGTACTTTTGTTGAGACGCTTCCTTGATGCGCCGATGAAGTACACGCAGAGTTTTTGGACCGGTTCTCCGTTCTGCGACCAACAGGACGTGATGGAAATCAGAAACAACTCGAATTAGGATTCACATCGGAAGTGCACAATGTGCCAATGCACACACGTGCATTCACATACGTCAACAGATCAACCTCTCGCGCCACTTTTTGCGTGGTGCAAAAAATACCCCAGACAGGTTGATCGGGAATGGGAATTAGCATAGAAAAGACTGTTACATCAAAACACATTCATGAGGCAAAGCCTTCTTTTCATTGAAATGGTGGTTCATTTGCTGTGATTGCGCGAGCGCATTCCTACAACCAGTTTGAACAAATGACGACCAGTATCCAACCTTTTTAGAATGTGCAGATATCAGGAAACGGTGGAAATCGAGTTGGAGGGAGTCACTCGTTTAAGGGCCCCGGTCTACGCTTTCCCAGTGCGGCAGTGTCCTACGGGTCCATTCCTCTTCCATACCAACATTACGCATGGAGTCACCATCTCAGCCAACCCGGTGCTCTTCCCTTTCCTAGGTTCAGACTTAGCTCCATTACCGCCCTGCAAACCAGGCACCTTAAACATCTATGGCTCTAGCAATTGGCGCAAGAGAGGCAGAGCACACTATAGTGCCCCCCCCCACGACTAAATTTTCACCCATTAGTGGCCCCCAACCCATAAATACATTTTCACCCATTTGACCCCTGGAGCACTTGTTCCCACAGCGAGCGATCGATGGGCATAAACTAACATAGAAGCCGGTACTTTACCTAGAATAAGAAAAAAAAGGAATGTAGATGTATCAAGACTTGCCTGAAATTGATACCTTTCTTGGGGAAGTCCATTATACTGCGAATGAGAGGCTCCACTTCAGCCCGAACTTCATCGAACGACTTCGTGGACCCACCAACCATTTCCAGACCGATAGACACAGCGACAACGACGTGATGCCAATGATAAACGATCGCTTATTGAAGGAGCGTTGCGGCGTACACCCGCTGGTCCCGCAACGATCACCGCAGAGGCCCGTCAAAGGCCGTTCAGGGCTGGCAGCGAGCAACTTGCCTAGCGTTCCTTCCAGGCCGTTTTGTGAGGTTACAAAGTCCCTAAGGTTTCGTTTTTGTGTTTTTCTTTGTTTCATATGAGATTATACCTCCTATTTCTGCCACCAGTCGGCAAATTTTCATGGTATTTCTTCGATTTCCATCGATTCAATAACGTCTTTCGTTCTTATATTTACTCGGAAGTACTGATATTGCAGTATGTTTCTTGAATTGCCTAACTAGTTGTTAATGAATGCATTCGATGATTTGGAGGAAAGATTTTGGCCTTTTCTTTTGGCCATATTCAGCCGAAGCTCTACTAGTTCCCATTTGTATAGTTTTTCAGTGTACCATGAAATATGGCACTTTTTTTGGGTGCCGCACAGTCACAGAATCCTCTGGTCTCCTCCTTCCAACTAGGCAATTTGCATTTCATGGCTACTGATCTTTACAGCAACAAAATGCAAATTGCCTATACAAATCGGAGGCATTCGGGGTGATTGAACATTTGTATTTGAGTTTCCGGCAATCTTCGTGAGAGCTTGTCTCTTTTTCTCTACTTTGGCCTTTCGCTTGGTTGCTGTAGTCGATGCTCTCTCTAAACTTTTCTCAGAAACCTTTCATAGTGGTTTGTCTTCACCGTCTTTAGAACCTGTCTTCATTTTCTCCACTTTCAACCATGACCTCCGATACATAAAACCCAACTGTCAATATTAACAGTACAAAGGGGAGTGTACTATCATGGCCAGAGCCTTTTATAGAGCATAGGGCAGACATGTCCCATCGAAGTTAGCATAGTCTTATTACACTGAAGCTAACAAAGCATGGTAGGGAAGAGTTAAGCACGTAATTGGCAGCTGTCCAAGTTATCCCGAAACGGGAATTGGCAACAGGTTATGATTCTAAGGGGCTTAAGCAGACGCACCGATAAGAAGTAACCGTCGCGTTGAAAAAAAGTGGTAGAGTCAACGTGAAAACGGACACGTGGAACCCATAGTTTTTGCCCAGTAATAGTATCGACTGGCGATTACGAGTTGTGAGTATGAACTGGGGAATAGCCGTTATCGATCAAGCATTGCAATTGCAATTAGCGAACTAATGAATGTGACACCGAACCTCTTCACATCGTCGCTAATGACGAGAAAGAGCCATATGAAGGGCGTCCTAAAATAGACCAGTGGAAGTGTGCACCGTTTACTATTTTTCACTATATATAAAGCGCTAATGTGTGTCCATGTGTATGTGTGCGTGTGCTGTGTGTGTGTTCAGTCGGAAATCAGTACTTACTATTCTTCTTTACCAGGACTTGCGAATTTGGAAATAATGGAGGCGGCGCGATCCAACTACTATTATACATACATACATACATACATACATACATACATACATACATACATACAT